GTCGTATGCTGTAAAGCCCTGTGAGGCAAATTGTGATTTGTGATATTGGGCTTTATAAATAAAATTGATTGATTGACTGACAATTCTCAGTGCTGTTGGCAGCTGCAATCCATTCTTTGTGAATTCACCCCTCAGAGTACTGAGGCTAACAACAATCACAACCTGTTTAAAACAAACAAATAAAAGGGCATTAGACCTGGTTTAAGTCTTGGGTTTTTCCATTTTGAGTACATCGCCTGGATTGAGATTAATTAAGCAGGCGGAATTGTATATAGAAATACGACCCTCTGCCTTTCCCACATTTGACATATTCTTTTGATGATAATTTAATTCAGTGGCCTTTTGCACCCTGTTTTAACCTCATTTGTTTGCTTAAGTTTTATTGTCTGGTGACCTTTTGTCCGTTTCAATGCACAACATTTATTTTTCTGACCAAATGTCAACAGGGCTATGATAACATAAGCATTGTACATGTGATCTATCACTACTTAATACATATAAAACCCTGTCCTCACAGCACACTCTAACCAGCTCAGCAGGCACCAGTATCAGAATTTAGTGTTTAACCTTCTCCCATTCTTCCACGAGCCAGGATCTATAAGATCTAAACAGAGAAAGCTTAGCTGAGGTTCGCTCAGTCACAGTTGCTATTGAAGAGACTGCAGCTTTGGCAACAGAAAAAAAAATCTGTGGTTAGAAAGAAAAATAAGGGATTTAAGCAAACAAATTAAATAATGGAAATGGGTACATACAGTATCTGAGAGAGAAAAATCATTTTCTCTGGTTGGCTAGGCAGCAGCCGAAGTCCAGAAGCAGAGCAGTATAGAAAATAACCACCATAAATCAAGATGGCCTGATGCCCACTCTGCTGTCCAACTCTCCTGCCAAGACTGGCTCCTCTGATGCCCACTTTCCTTCACATCAGCCATTCAGCAGACAGATAGGATGAGTTATAGCTGCTGACGGCAGCCGTGGCTGTCAGAACCACCGCTTCATCACAACAAACTCAGGAGAGGAAATCACAGAGGACGACACCCCTGGACTTTTATTTATTGTGTATTGGATCAAAATAGTCTTTTTTTATTATTAACAAAAATAGATATGGTTACAGTCTGCCTCCAATATGCTGGATATTTATGTATTGATTTAATAATTTATCAGTGCTAATCTGGTTGCCTGTAGAAAGAATGTGATCAGTATTAATGTAGCTGCAACATTAATCTACTAGTGCCCCATGACGTACAGTAAAGACCCTTTGACCTCTTCAGCTTGGCTGCTCTTACAAACATAAATAAATACATAATTAAGTACATAAAAATAGCACATGAATGAAAAATGAAGAAAATGTTACATTTAGGATTGTATTTACTTTCTGCACTGTAATAGCTAATAACTAAAAAATTGTATTGGTAAGGCAATTTAACTTAATCACAAACGCATTGAATATTAGCATCAATAAAAGGAATTATGTAATAAACAATCATAATAAATGTCGAGCAAACTGTATGAAAACATTGTATAGATACAGTTTGTATTCATGGGAATGCCCACAAAACCTAACATCCTTTGACGCTGAGGGGCGAACAATGTATTTGCAACTATGCTCAAGAATTGCTGTGTGGCTCTTAACATGTCAATCAAACTTAAAAATCAAGAGTTGAAGGGGTGTTTTTCACCACTAAAAGTGCTTGTTTTGCCACTGACAGGCTCAGATTGTTAACATAAAGGATTCCTAAAGAGATAGACCATTTTTGTTACAAACTAAGGGTGCTTTCAGACCTAGAGTTGTCTTGCTTTGGTCTGAATCACGGACTAATTTTGTTCCAAAGTTGTATAATTGCATAGAGTTGGTTAATGTTCTCACAGCAGCATTTACAAGCGGACCAGATCAAATGCCTTGTGTGAGAAAGCTGCTCTTGATTGGTCAGAATTTCCATGTGGGAAAAATCCAGGAAGTAAACCAAATGTTGAAGAAGAGTACACTGGCAAGATAAATGTGACACTTTCTAATGTCACAATGGAGGGACAACTACGCAGGTTGATTTTAGCGCTGGTCATCGTGGACTATATTGCTGTCATTGTTCATTTTAGTCAAACCATACAGTTTGAAAACGAGGCGCGGCTCCAACTAGAAAACAATGTTTTGATGCATTGGATGTGCTGAATGTGCATTTTTTTTTTTTTTAAGATATTTTTTGGGGCTTTTTAGCCTTTAATTGATAGGACAGACAAGCGTGAAAGGGGTTTTTTAAACCAAAAACAGCCCCAAAATCACTAGTGGTCAAAATGTACTCAATATAGCGTACACTTAAACTGATATTGATGTTTTTGGGATTTGCTGCTAACCCTCATCAACAACAGTACATTTCTTATTTTCTGCGTCCGCACTGCTGCCTGTTTCTTTAGAATGGGTGCGCGTCTACCGCGACGCACTGAAGGTGATCAACTGAAAATGGCTAAGTACCTCATACAACCCCACTTCAAAAAAATCATACCTTTAACAGCAGCAGCTACATTTTAAACCTCTGCAGGCCGGCTTGAGTTTCATTGACAGCAGCTCAATATGAAGAGAAGCAAAGACAAAGGAGATCTGATTGGAATTAATTAATGAGGGGAATTAATGGGTGAGAAGAACAGGGTTTCCGTTCAAAAGAGAAACTCAACCAGTCAAGATTATTGCATGTTGTTGTACAATTTAAAATTATTTAAGAAATAATGCTCTTAATTTATCAGTAAAAAAGTAAAACATGCAGGAAGCAAACAGCAGTGCCGGAAAATTAACACATCCAACAGGAGCAGACTACAAAACAGATGGCCCTCTAATTGCAGTGTGATAAAGTACACATAAAACCATAGGAAATTAAACATAAAGGTCTGCTTTGATAACATGCTGTTTTTAATAAAGGCATCTCTTCAGTTGAGGTAGCTCTGCTAAGTGTTGAGATCACCATTCCGGCTGTTCTCACACATTTTTCGTATGTTTTCCTACAAAAAGCAGTGCACCCAAATTAGGGTTGTCAAAATTGCTCAAAAATGACATTTGAATATTCCTTCTAAAAATAACTCATAGATTCAAACCATTCGAATATTTTTTTTCGGCATTATGTCCACAAGAGGGCAAACTAATACAAGGAAACATACTTGTATATGTATTAATACAAGGAAACATAACTACTTGTAGGTATTTTTATTTCAACATAAACGTCTTTGAAAACATTTACATACCTACACATTAAAACACATAAAACAATTATCTATAACATTACATTATAAACGACCGCGGACCTCTCGCTCGCCCCACCTCTCTGACCCGTGGCCACACCACCCGCGGAAGTGCTGCAAATAGCCTCGAAGCGCCGGACCGTGACCAGCTCACGCCCTGCAGCGATCGTTTCGGCGTCTGGTCTATTTTCTGCGCGAGCCGCGAGCAAATATGTCAAGCCAGTGACGGAGACAATAGCTGGGAGCAGAACCGCTTGTCGACCAGCGTGGAGAAATGCGCGTCTGATGCCATCGCCCACTCGCAAAGAGGACAGCTGCGGTGGTGTTTTTTTTTTTTTTTCTCCACAATCGAATATCAATTTTCACATTCGAAGGTCCATTTTTTTTTCAAATTCGAATTTAAATTCAAATTTAGAATATTCGTTGACAGCCCTAACCCAAATTTGCATGTATCCCACGTATTTCGGAAGGCTGCGATCACGTGACTAATGCACTGACTGTAGTACACAAAGAAGCAGATACAAGGCAGGATGGATCCATGCTTTCATGTTGTTTACACCAAATTCTGACCCTACCATCTGAATGTGGCAGCAGAAATCCAGACTCATGAGACCAGGCAACGATATTCCAGTCTTCTATTGTCCAGTTTTGGTGAGCCTGTGTGAATTGTAGTCTCAGTTTCCTGTTGTTAGCTGACAGGAGTGGCACCTGGTGTGGTCTTCTGCTGCTGTAGCCCATCTGCTTCAAGGTTAGACGTGTTGTTGGTTCAGAGATGGTCTTCTGCAGACCTTGGTTGGAACCAGTGGTTATTTGACTTCCTGTTGCCTTTCTATCATCTTGAACCAGTCTGGCCATTCTCCTCTGACCTCTGGCATCAACAAGGCATTTTAGCTCACTGGATACTTTCTCTTTTTGGGACCATCCTCTGTAAACCCTAGAGATGGTTGTGTGTGAAAATCCCAGTAAATACTCAGACCTGCCCGTCTGGCACCAACAACCATGACACGTTCATTCTCATGCTTGGTTTGAACTTCAGCAGGTCGTCTTGATCATGTCTACATGCCTAAATGTATTGAGTTGATGACACGTGATTGACTCATTAGCTATTTGTGTTGAAGAGCATTTAAACAGGTGTACCTAATTAAGTGGCTGGTGAATGTATCATCTACTGGTTAAAGCTGCTTTATGGGAAGAAACACAGTTGGTTGGATGCACATTCGATGTGTGTTTTTCCGCAATATGCTTCAGAAATAATAAATGCTTTCTGAGATGAAAATAGATGTAAATATCTGTTTCACAGAGAACTGTGGGACGTGTTAAGTCGCTATTCCACGTCCTTTTTGCCAGTAACGTGTAGGCTGCTGCAAAAATATTCATGTCTGATCGTCATCTTATTGAATTTGAAAACATATTGAAAAAACTGTCACTTGGTTTATTTTAATCAGCCTTTTATCACCAAGGTGGCCACAGATGTTTGTACAGTCAGTGATGATTAAAAGTGTAGCTAAATCTAAAGCAACTGCTATGATCATGTGTTGCAGTTTGCTTATTTCATGACAGTATGTTCAGTATAACCAAAGGGCCTGAGGCTGATGTTGATAAAAACCGAGGTAAGTCTGTGTTAGAGAAACACTTGAATAGCAAGTTGACTGGGTTCACTAAAAATTCACACAGAATTTATCTTTAAAAATCGTAAGTCATATCCAAGCAACAAGAATTGGCTGTAAATGTAGAGGCTGCACTTTAGCGTCATAATTAGCGTCATCATGGCGGCTCACCTTGGCTTTATTAATGGTGCAGTGCAGTGCATTGTTCTCCTGGTCATACTGCAAACTGAAGTCCAAGGTCCCCAGTGTAGCTGTAATGATAGAGAGGGAGAACAGAGAGAGAAGAAAATTAGTGGCACACGGAGACACGCTGGGGAGAAAAAAAAAAACTGAAACGTGTCTGCCTGCTCTCATCGTTTGAAAGAAAAGTCTTGATGGGAAATCTCAGGGCGTATATGGCATTGGCATGTCATAATAGCCATAATAATCAGCATGGAAATAATCACACAAGAAATGGACATTTACAATACTGGTAAATGGAGTTTTGAGTTTCATCAATGACTTCCCGTCTCTCTCTGTAGTGTTCGAGCTTAATTAAAGGAATACTTCAACCCCCAAATGATCATTTGTATTTCAGTTACTCAGCTGGTGTTGCGTTGAACTCATGGAGAAAACTTTTGTTTTTCTCACATGCGTCCGGGGAATAAAGAATCCAGAAATTTTTTTAACATCAAAACTATCTCAAAACATCTGTTAACAAACTCTCACTCATCATGCTCCGCTACTGACCAGTGAACGGACCACAGTGTTTCTAGCTCCACCTCTTAGTACCAGCTCTGTGTGCTAGGTACCCCAACAGAGGGGTGACCAAAAATGAAGACAGTACAGAACGGTTCCATTGGTAGCAGCCACAACTTTTCACTGTTGAAACGGAAAGAAAGTGTACTGAACTGAAACAAATCGTACTGTACTGCTTGGTGGAAATAGGGCCAAAGGTGGACGCGCACCACTGTGACATGTGACCCCCCCCCCCCAGAAGGTCATCAAGGAAACTTAGGGAGAAGTTTCTGTCTTCATCAGGCTCTTGCTCATGGACCTCTAAAGAGGTAGGACATCAAGCAGGAGGACCTGCTCTTCACCTCTACATGCTCACAGCAGGAGCTGCAGCTTTGCTCTGAATGTGGCCTACTCCAGGCAGACACAGAACCTGAAGACCAGGGAAGTTAGTGCGTCTGGCAGACAATCTGCAAACTAACTTCTCCAGCAACAAGGAGAGCCAAGTCGTTATGAGGTCAGGTCCCAACAGCCATGTAGTTGCTGGACCATTGTCGGAGCTGGCTGATGCTATGTTATCATTGGCCGGTCTGTGTTAGATGGGCGGGGCTAAGCCAAGGGTCAATTGGCCTTTAACGAAGTGCACGTGTGCCTGCAATAACTTAGAAGATAATTTTGCAAAGTACAAAAAAATATTTGTTTGAGATCCTACTTCATGCTGATTAATACAGTTTATCTATGCTCATCCTGTCTGCAAAGTGCATCTGAAAAACTACCAGCCATCAACATCAACAACACAATTAGCCTTTAATCAATGGCATATGCAACAAAGAGTCCCACAAAAAAATCTTTTTGGTACTGTGTGCTTGAATTGTGGAGTAACCTGTTGCTCATATATCTTGAGAGCTTATATACTGCTCACTTTTGACAAAACTGTACACAAGATGGAGAGAAATAAGTGAAAGGAAAAGGATAAGAAACTAAAAGAAATACACACTGCAGCATGATGCTGTCAAGGGCGCTGGAAATAAAGGATATACTTTGCAAGTGGGTGGCACAAGTGCAAATGTTAAGTAGTTAAAATGGAGAAATAAATGGACATAATTCAATTGTTACATTTTAAATCGGCTAAAGGCATTTTATCATTAGTCCATCCTCACCTCTACACTGCATCCAACTAAGTGATTAGATTAAATCTTTGAATAAGTCCTTCAAAACAAGCAGTTAGGCAACTTCAGCTTATTAGAATGACGCTACTTGGATCTTGCCAAAAAATAGAAAATATAACCACATTACTCCCGGCCTGAAATCCTTACACTGGCTACTTGTCACTTAGAATATTGACTTCAGAATCTTGCTGCTTGTGTAAAAATCACTCTGTGGCACAGCCCCCAACTATGTCTGTGACATGCTTGTGACATATGAACCTCGTAGGACCCTGAGGACATCTAGGGCCGGCCTATTGACCGTCCCTGGAGTTAGAACAAATATATACAGTACAGGCCAAAAGTTTGGACACACCTTCTCATTCAATGCATTTTCTTTATTTTCATGACTATTTACATTGTAGATTCTCACTGAAGTCATCAAAACTATGAATGAACACATGTGGAGTTATGTACTTAACAAAAAAAGGTGAAATAACTGAAAACATGTTTGATATTCTAGTTTCTTCAAAATAGCCACCCTTTGCTCTGATTACTGCTTTGCACACTCTTGGCATTCTCTCCATGAGCTTCAAGAGGTAGTCACCTGAAATGGTTTCCTCTTCACAGGTGTGCCTTATCAGGGTTAATTAGTGGAATTTCTTGCTTTATCAATGGGGTTGGGACCATCAGTTGTGTTGTGCAGAAGTCAGGTTAATACACAGCCGACAGCCCTATTGGACAACTGTTAAAATTCATATTATGGCAAGAACCAATCAGCTAACTAAAGAAAAACGAGTGGCCATCATTACTTTAAGAAATGAAGGTCAGTCAGTCCGGAAAATTGCAAAAAATTTAAATGTGTCCCCAAGTGGAGTCGCAAAAACCATTAAGCGCTACAACTAAACTGGCACACATGAGGACCGACCCAGGAAAGGAAGACCAAGAGTCACCTCTGCTTCTGAGGATAAGTTCATCCGAGTCACCAGCCTCAGAAATGGCAAGTTAACAGCAGCTCAGATCAGAGACTAGATGAATGCCACACAGAGTTCTAGCAGCAGACCCATCTCTAGAACAACTGTTAAGAGGAGACTGTGCCAATCAGGCCTTCATGGTCAAATAGCTGCTAGGAAACCACTGCTAAGGAGAGGCAACAAGCAGAAGAGATTTGTTTGGGCCAAGAAACACAAGGAATGGACATTAGACCAGTGGAAATCTGTGCTTTGGTCTGATGAGTCCAAATTTGAGATCTTTGGTTCCAACCGCCGTGTCTTTGTGAGACGCAGAAAAGGTGAACGGATGGATTCCACATGCCTGGTTCCCACTGTGAAGCATGGAGGAGGAGGTGTGATGGTGTGGGGGTGTTTTGCTGGTGACACTGTTGGGGATTTATTCAAAATTGAAGGCACACTGAACCAGCATGGCTACCACAGCATCCTGCAGCGACATGCCATCCCATCCGGTTTGCGTTTAGTTGGACGATCATTTATTTTTCAACAGGACAATGACCCCAAACACACCTCCAGGCTGTGTAAGGGCTATTTGACCAAGAAGGAGAGTGATGGAGTGCTGCGGCAGATGACCTGGCCTCCACAGTCACCAGACCTGAACCCAATAGAGATGGTTTGGGGTGAGCTGGACCGCAGAGTGAAGGCAAAGGGGCCAACAAGTGCTAAACACCTCTGGGAACTCCTTCAAGACTGTTGGAAAACCATTTCAGGTGACTACCTCTTGAAGCTCATGGAGAGAATGCCAAGAGTGTGCAAAGCAGTAATCAGAGCAAAGGGTGGCTATTTTGAAGAAACTAGAATATAAAACATGTTTTCAGTTATTTCACCTTTTTTTGTTAAGTACATAACTCCACATGTGTTCATTCATAGTTTTGATGCCTTCAGTGAGAATCTACAATGTAAATAGTCATGAAAATAAAGAAAACGCATTGAATGAGAAGGTGTGTCCAAACTTTTGGCCTGTACTGTACATCAACAGTAGATTGATTACACAGGAAGGTTAGGGTAAGGAGCAGTGTTGGGTAAGGGTTACTTTAAAAGTAATCAAAGTATGTTACTGCATTACCTTTTTTAAAAAAGTAACCAGCTACTTTACTGCGTTACTCCCTGAGTAAAGTAACTCAATTACTTTAAAAGTACTTCTAACGTTACTCCCTGAGAAAAGTAACTCAAGCACTTTTAAAGTACTTTTGAGTATTCTACATTTCCTATTGGGCAATGGACCACAGTGCGCTAAGCCTACATTTTTTCGTCTCCAAAATTAAAGTTATGGACCACTTGCCCTTCACTGAGATCCAATTCTCCCATCACAGCCGTCACTTTGACCAGTAGAAACACGCAACGATCTGCTGCCGTAGACAACTGTATGACAACAACACCCCAGCGTTTAATATTTCCTCTAGGGATGTTACCACACAGAGTAAAAGGGGGAAATGATGGTGTGAAACAGCAGAGGCACTTTGTCAACCCGCTGAGTTAACGTTACTGTCATTAGCATCAAGCTAGCAAACAATGGTACATCCTCACGGTCAGACATAAAGTAATAACATTAACAAATAGCGGCGGGGCTTTTACTCACCACAACTGCAGAGGCTCCCAGCTTCATTTGAAACAAACTACATTATAGATGGTCCGTTATTTATTAATCCCTCTGTGTGTTTATATATTTACTTTTTATCTGCTCCGTTGTCTTTGTAAAGTTAACATATCGCACCGTCATTTCAAACTCAACACTTGTTTCAAATTAAAAGCCCCTTATAACCTCGGCCGAGAGAATCCCTCCTTTTTCTAAATAGGCTTTTATTCTGAAACATTTGTCAGAACTTCCTGTGGAAGATACAGTAACTTCATAGTTTACGTGTGGCGCTTCAAATGTAGCTCCTGCCATCTGCTGACGCTTTTAGGTGACTACAACAACATGTCGGCTGGCACATGAACAGACACACAGTGACTCAAATAATAGTGAAAGTAATAAAAACAGGACAAGAATAACCCGATGAAATTACACACTCCGTGAAAGACGACCGGGGATAATTGGTGAGTACCAGCGTGTAGCATGTACCAGGCATAATGCAAGTCCTGAGTCTGAAATATGTCTGTCAGCGAGTCCTACTCCACCTATTTAGACTCCACTGTAGACAATGGCAGCATTTCTCCGACCACGTAGTGAGCCACAAGCTCCGTGGCTTCTTTCAGACTGATAGGTTTAACTTATCTCTGTTATTAGAACCAAACGACAGCCGTTGCTGTTTCGGAGCTGAAGGACCAGCGTAACTGATGTCTTGTTTGAAAATGTACTTAAGTATTTGATAACTCAAACAGCAAACTAACACGTTAGGTTACTTGTTACTGCAAAAAGTAATCGAAGTACTACAACTACTG